TGTGTGTGTGTGTGTGTGTGTGTGTGTACACGTGGTGACCACCAAACCAATGTGCCAGGATCTGACAATAAAGTATGTATCTTATCTTAATACCCATCTGATTCCCCGCCATTCCTGGGTCAGGGTTTGGTGTCACCAGACAGAGAGTTTTGGTATCACCCACCACGACAATAAGGTACGGCTGGTTTGGCATGGAACGAAAACACCCTCTTTGCCTTACTTTGTTTGAAATGTTTTTTTGTTTTGTTTTGAGTTGGGTTTTTTTACCCCCAGAACAATGTTAGAATAATTAATAAATAGTGAATAATTTTGAATAAAGATCCGAGACCATTGAGAAAGAGGTGCTTGAAGGAAGAATGCGGGGCAGGAGAGCTAGGGGTGGACAAAGAGGAACATGGATGGATCGCATTATAACATGGACTGGTCTAGATACATGCACAATAGCAGAATTCGCAACGGCAGCTCGCGACCGTGAAGGATAGCTGATAGTCATTACCCGTCAGCCTCTAAGTCAGAAATGACACCTTTAGATAAAAATAAAGATCTTTCAACATTTCAGTGCTCCTCTCTAATGTTTTTTTTTTATCCCTTGCTCATTTATTTGAGATTGACGCCATCTGATTAATAGAAAAAAGTGCGTAAGTTAGTGTCCAACAGTGTATTACATACATACTTAGTATGACAAGTAACTGTTACAGATAGAGATTCAAGGATTATTGATGTAAGTCATTGATCTGAGAGCAATGCTGATTTTAGAAATAATGGTGGTAATTAGTGATGATGTAGGATTGTGTTGAAGTAATATAGTCCTATCTTCTTCTGCTCGAATGAGTCGTGATCTCAATGGACGTGGGCACTCTCTATCCCGTTCCCTACTGGAACCATCTTTACGGTCACCGTGAAGTTCCGAAATGGTGGGCACAATCTCTGCTAAGGTGACTAATATTGGCATTTGCGATGTTGGGTATGGAATGTGGTGTTCCTCTGTCACTGTGCACCATCAGCTACTAACCCGAATTGGGTTTCTAATACTTCGGGTCTTATCTTGTTTCTCATTCTTACCGTCAGTATTCTCAGTGAAACATTTTAGTTTCATTGAGTGATTCATGAGACTCATTATTTCCTAGCGTTCGTAGTCTCTGTGGTTCTAAGCTTTTTTGGAGTAATGACAATGACAATGATGACAATCTTTATTCATCTCGCAGGGAGAAATTTGTTTTGGTCGTTAACAATGGCAGTAGACGTTACAAAGGTTGGATGCACTCACGTGTATGCACAACAAGACAGGACATTAGTAAATACATGTCTCACGTGCTGAAACAACCCGCTCCGTAAAACATTCTCTCTCTCTCTCT